GTCAAAAGAATTGCATAAGATGTTAAATCATCAATAGATTGCATTATTAGGTTTAGTGAATTTATTACTTTAATTCCACTAAATTAATTCGGAATGCTTTTATGAAGTGTTGAGTAATAATTGTATCCCCTCTCTACTTTCATTATTTTGGTTTTAATAGTGCAGACTGTGCAGTCCACGTACATCTTGTTTGCTCTTTTGAAGGAACGGTCCAAGAAAACAAAAAGCGTTGCATAAATCACGCGTACGAAGTTTCGTAAATTAAAGTAAATCCATTTAATTTGTCACGTGTCGTGTTTGCTCTCCAAAGGAAACAAAAGCTGTTATATTGAAATTAAGACAACTTAATTGGTAATTTACAAACATTTTAAAAATCTGACGACCCAACAAACAAACAAAAAAGAGGAACGGATAGTAAGTCAAAAGCCAAAATCTTGATAATTTTATTTTAAAAGTTTCTATGGTGAATATTCAAACAGTACCTATCAATCAAGTATTTAGGAAAAGGAAAGAGCAATGAACAAAGACAATTTTTAACCGTTCGATAATATTGAAGATAGGGTTAGCACGTGGACGGAAACTTCTGATAACCATCCATTTTTTTGTCCAAAGGAATTTATTGCAGTTACATTTTTTTTGTCAACTATTAAGCAGAGAGAGGTTAAAAAGTGTTAAAGCCCATTTTTTATTGGGATTATTTCCAAAAATGTCATTTGTCGGAAATGACCTTTTCAAAAATACCATTATTCTAAACGGCTTTCTTAATATACCACAATTCACTATTCATGTAAGAGTAAAAAGACACTAATATCCTTTGCCACATCCTATCACCGTCGTCGTCTTGTCCTCTACCGACCTCATTTTGTCCACTGGCCACCGTCTCCATCACAATCTTGTCCATCAGTGTCTTTGTCCCCATTTTATCCACCACCATCGCATTTTCGTCTTTTCCACCGCCGTTCTAATCTGGTCTACCGGCCACCATTTCCGTCACCATCTTGTCTTCCGCCGTTGTCATCTTGTCCTCCGCCGACATCATCTTGTCCACTGGCCACGGTCTCCGTTGCCATCTTGTCTATCAGCGTCTCCGTCGCCATCTTGTCCACCGCCATTCGACAGTCTCCATAGCCATCTTATCCACCATCGTCTCTATCGTCATTTTGTTCACCACCGTCGCATTTTTGTCTTGTCTATCGCTGTGGAGTCTCCGTTTTGTTACCGTAATCTTCGTCACCTTCTTTTTCTTCTTTATCTTGTCACCATTCACGT